CGCGTTATTGATCAATGTAACTCAAGTTCGTTCGAAATGTAACTTGTCAAATACATAGTATAAGAAATAAAATATTGATTTCAATCTAAACAATGAAAAAAAATATTCTATTGTAATATCAGTTGAAGCTAGAAAAAGTAAAGAAAATGTATGATTATGAAATACAATATACTCATTTTATGTAGATTAATAGAATTTGGTAATAATTTGGTAGAGAAAAGAAAAGTGAATTCAATTGTATATATATTTTAAATAGTTAAAGATAAATATAAGTAAAATCACAAATAAAGTTTTAGTATTTTGATGTAGAAGAAAAAAGAATTGAAGAAAATAGAAAAGAAAAAATAAAGAGAAAGAAAGCACTAACCTGAAAAGAGAAAGAAAGCTTCTGTAGTATTGAATTGTTACGTTGGGAGCTTGGGAAGAGAAAAACGGTACCGTATTAGTAGATATAGTAGAAAAATACCCGTTGCACTGTATAATTTGAAAAATTTCTCCTTCCAACTCATTCTTCTTCTTCTCTTTTATTTCACCTTCACCAATTCTATCATTTCATGATTTCATCATCTCGTTCCATCTTCAATCACTATAACCATCTCCATAATTTTATATCTTTAATATATGGGAAAAATACTCTAATATTATTAAAACTCATGACTTTTCCCAGAATATGACAATATATGTTTTTAATCTTAAGTATGACCAAATTGAACATCCCATACATGGCCGGCTGGAATGATGAAATAAATAACCAATAATGACCTTGCATATATATAGTAATTCCTTATTTTTAGGAACAATAATTAATGCAGCCTAATGCATGCTTTAATTTCTCTTCATCGTAATTAAGGATATGCTACAAAAGAAAGTAATTATTTAAAAAGCATGTGTCGATAGTTTAGGTATATAATAATAATAATAAATGTTGACGCGTGAGCATAGGCATTAAATATAGGACAATAAAGAAATGAGCATTAACATAAGGCAGTGAATTCCATAGGCAGTAAAATTCTTAATTTCAAAAAAACATAGGTAGTAAAATAATGAATTATTTAGTAATAAATGTTGACGGGTGAGCATAGGCACTAAATAGAGGACAATAAAGAAATGGGCATTAACATAAGGCAGTAAATAACACGGGCAGTACGTAGTTGCATTCTATAACATGGCAGTAAATAACACGGACAGTAATGAATTATTTTATTCGTTAGTAAATATTTGCATTCTATATATGTGATTCATAAGTGAAATAGACAGTAAATATAAAAATAGAAGCAATTGTTTAAGAGGGCAATAAATGTGTAGGAGGGCATTATTGTTTATAATACGTATAACAATAACAATAACAATAACAATAATAATAATAATAATAATAATAATAATAATAATAATAATAATAATAATAATAATAATAATAATAATAATAATAATAATAATAATAATAATAATAATAATAATAATAATAATAATAATAATAATAATAATAATAATAATAATAATAATAATAATAATAATAATAATAATAATAATAATAATAATAATAATAATAATAATAATAATAATAATAATAATAATAATAATAATAATAATAATAATAATAATAATAATAATAATAATAATAATAATAATAATAATAATAATAATAATAATAATAATAATAATAATAATAATAATAATAATAATAATAATAATAATAATAATAATAATAATAATAATAATAATAATAATAATAATAATAATAATAATAATAATAATAATAATAATAATAATAATAATAATAATAATAATAATAATAATAATAATAATAATAATAATAATAATAATAATAATAATAATAATAATAATAATAAATTGATTTATATAATATGTTAATCTAATCTAAAAAAAATAATGGAAGCAATGTCTCGGCAGTTACATTAAGAAACGGTTCCTTATTTTTTTAGGAGTCTAATAATTTACATGCATGTGGTGGAACCGTGGAAGGCTAATGGAATCCTTAATTTTAGGAGAAATAACTACTTATTTATTATTGTGCGGAGGACATTGGTGGAATAAAAAGAAAATAAAGAAACGTGGATGACCAAGTACATTATGCAAGTATCACATCAGGGAAAAAAAGTGAGGAAGTCATAGATTGGGAATATCATGTTCTTTTAGTCATAGGAGAGTTAATTTTCTCTTAATATATTACATATTCATCATTAACATTACTTTCGGTCTTCACCACTTCATCTTCTCTTTCTTGAGATTTGTTGGAGATGGCGAACAGTCGGAAAACAAACTAGAGATGAAAAGAGGGTAACTTCTGTGTGTCGGTTAGGCCTGGACTCGGGCCGGTTCGGGCTTGGGCCGGGCCTAGGCCCGGTAAGGCCGGTGGTTCTGGAATGGGGGGGCCCGGAACCGGCCCGGGTAATCCCCGGTTCCGGGTCGGGCCGGGCCTCGGGCCTTGTTAATTTTGTTATTTCCCTTTTCCTAGTTACCACCCTCCACCCCCAAACCACCCCAAATGGCCCAAAATACCCAGCCCAACCCGAAAATTAAAAAAAAAAATTGGAAAAAAAATTAAAAAGACTCGGAACTGGGCCCGAACCGGCCGGGCCGGTTCAGGATTTGGGGGACCCGAGCCCGGACCGGAACCCACGCGGGTCGGGCCTACCCGGACCGGGCCGGGCCGGAACAGTGCCGGTTCCGGGTCCGGCCACCCGGCCCGAGTCCAGGCCTAGTGTCAGTTCTGAAATGTTGTATGTGTCTTGTTGAATACATATATATTGCTTATTGGAAAACATGAAATAGAAGAAGTAAATTATTGTAAAGTTTGGCCACACAAAAGAATTTCTATATAGAGACAATGGTTCACATCAATTTGCATTTCTTGTAGAGAAGCCAAGATTAGATTATACGAAAACCGATTTTGTGTCATAAACATTTGTTGTCTATATACATTGAGAAATATATCTATACTTATACGTTTTTAATTATCTATGCCGAATAGAAAATTATTAGGCACAAACAGAAAATAGTACAAAAAAGTACAACTAATGTCTTTATATATATGGACATTGGGTTCTTTGGTATTTTGTAGAAACCTCCGAGTTTGGTACTCCCTCCGTAACATTCATATATTCCCACTTTCCTTTTTTGGAAGTAACAATTATATCTTCTATTTCTAAATCTTCCCATCATACCCTTAATAATATAAAAAATAGGGAAATTTACTATTAACCCCCTCAGGTTATGTCATAATTATTAATGCAACCTTGCATTTTCAAAAATCAATTAGTTACCCCCTGAGTTTAGATCATTCTCATTCTTTGCCCCCTCATGTTAATATTTATTAAATTTAAATTTAATATAATTATTAAATTCAATGAAAAGTGTCTATAAAATTAATTTTTAATGCAAACAAAAATTATTATCATAATTATAAGTCATTGTTGTTGATCGTAATTTTTCTGCTTAGCTACTCCATCGTGGATTAAATATTATTGAGAGTAATTAAGAGAAAACACTCAAAAGTAAGATATAAAATATCATGAATTTGTAATATTTTTATTTTAAAAATTTTAATATCATTTAATCTTATAACACTAATAAAATTTTTATAGTCGAAAAAACTTTTGTGAAGATAAAATCATCACAAATTAGTAACAGAGTCAATAAATTTTTTGAATAAATTAATATTTGTGGTATTTTAGGTCTTAGATTGACAACTTTCAATTATTCAGATCATGGAATAATTAGAATAATCAAAATCATCAGTTTCATCACACATTTTGTCTTTTAGGTCCCTAATTGATACTAAATCTCTCTCTTAGGTCATGGAATGATTAAAAAATTGGTATTTCTTCTTTGCTACACACCAATGAAATGTCATTGTGATTAATTGAATCGAATGAATTACAAATAAGACTTTTATATTCATAATGAAGAAGTGCCTAAAACTTTGATAACACATTTTATAACTAATTCTTTTTATGTATCCCATAAATATTACTCGTGAATCTTACCCTTAACTACTCTCATTAATAGCTACTCCTCGGTCGAGTAGTTAAGTAGAAATCCAATCGATCATTAACAATGACTTATAATTATGATAATAAATTGTATTATATTTTGATTTATAAATTAATTTTATATACAACTTTCATTGAATTTAAGAGGTATATTAAGTTTAATTTAACGAATATTAACGTGAGGGGGTATATAGCGAGAATGATCAAAACTCAGGGGGTAACTAATTGATCTTTGAAAATGCAAGGTTGCATTAATAATTATGATATAACCTCAGAGGGCTAATAATAATTTTTCCTAAAAAATAATATACTATTACACCTACTTTTTTTGGATTTATCCTTTATCCATTACATTATTTCACTATCTTCCCATCATACCCTCAATAATTTATATCCCCTTTCACTATTCTTAATCTTACACACTTTGGAAGTGGGAAGATATATGTGATACCGAGGAAGTACATTTTATGTGCGCAAACATTAGATGCTTGTTGACATATAATTGGTACATTTTTTGTCGATGGTTACAATTTTGTCAACACATGAAGAAAAAAAGTATATGTACAAACATTTTTTTTCTTTGTTGAGACATCTAAGGACACCGATTGATTTACGAGCAACCAAACACCCACGGTCTATAATAATGTAGTAATAAACATAAACAATGTGGTTAGCATTAAAATCGATATCCTGTTTTTTTTTTTTTTTTTTGTAAAAAAATCGATATCTTTATGCACATATAAGTTGTCCGTATATAGAATGATTCAATTACATTGAATACTACATATGTCTTCGAAAATTCTTTTACTTACTTATTCGGATGTTTCAAAAAAAAATCTCATTTCCCTTGAAAACTTTTATGTGGTTATCATTCATTTAATTTTTTTTGCTCATTCACAATCATACATTTCACTTTATCATTCATTTATTTTCACTATCTTAAACTTTTATTTTCACTTTGCTCATTCTGAAATCTGGATGAATTTTCCGGTTGAGAAAGAAATTCGTAAACAAGATTTATTGCTTACTAACTTGTGTATTTGAGAAGACGAGTTCGTGGGATTCGAATTTCGAACCGTCAAAATGATCTTCTGTTACCCATAAATGATTATTGATTAAAGAAGTGAATCTCCGTGCAAAATTAAAAGGTGCCGCCCAATTCTCATGTTTTCGCCCAATACAGAAAAGGGCAACGAGACTTTGAGAGCTTCAACACAAAAGCAAGTTAATTACTTCTCCCTTTCCTACGCACTTCAGCGGGAAATTTTTTACTTATAAAGTGCCAGCCAAATATGAAATCAGGCGAAGCTCGAAATTCTCCTATCAGGCTATCAACACTACAACTCAGAGGGAGAAAAGAAGTCGTAGAAAATGGAAGACAAGTCGCATGATGTTGAAGAGAACGAAACAATATCAACTGCGGAAGGCGAAGAAGGTCCGGCGATAGGGATCGATCTGGGGACCACATACTCTTGTGTCGGAGTTTGGCAGCCACAGCATGGCCGCGTTGAGATCATCACCAACGACTTAGGCAACCGTACGACGCCGTCATGGGTTGCCTTCACCGACGCTGAACGCCTTATAGGCGAACCTGCCCAGAACCAGGCCGCCATGAATCCTTCCAATACCATCTTCGGTTTGTTTTCTCATCTCTATCTCTGGACATACTATTCTCCGTCTCTTTCTAATTGCAACATGTTGACTTTTTGCACTATTCGCATAATCTACTTTGACTACATTTTACACTATTATATTATTTTATGGAAAGTATTTTTAAAAAAAATATTTTTCAATTCATCTCATTACAAATTTTCAAAATCTGATTTTTAATAATTTTTATTAATAGAGATTAATACATACTTACGGTCAAATGTGTGCATTGGCTAATGTGCAAAGGTTGACTGTTGCAACTAAAAAAATGGAGGAAGTATCTGTTTGCTTTTGGTTTAAATTTTTAAATAAATTTGTTTCAATCCTCCTCCATTGCGTGAAAAAATATGGGGCGAACAAATGGTACTTTGTGAGAGAGGGTATTTTATTTAGGAAAAAGGTGCAAATATACTCTTGCATGAGTATTTAATAGAAAATTTATCCCTTTTGACTTTAGATAATTCAAAAAAATACAAAAACAGATTAATGAATATATTGAGTTTGGAAAACGGAAAACGAAAAACAAAAAATTTAAAAAACCCGTTTTTTGTTCAATTCTTCCTTATTATGGAGTATTTTAATCAATAGTCATTATTGTTAATATAAAAGGAAGAATTTAACACAAAGTTGATTTTTTAATTTATTTCAATCTCCAAATTCAACATATTAATTAATTTTTTGTTTTTCTTATTTTTAAATATATATTTTTTATTTATTTAAAGTTAATATAATGGTAAAATTGCTCTTAAGTATAAACTCTCGGGATAATTTTGCACCTTTCTTAACTTGAGGGACATATATGCACCAAGAACTTAACTTCAAGGATATATTTGCTCCCTATTCCTTGTTTTATTGACATAATAATGTGTCATATACTCATATTCGCATTATATAAGCTGAACCACTAGCGTATATAATGGTGTACTAGACGTCATAGTAGGTCATACGGCCTCTGTAGCACTTAAAAGTCATAGCCTATACAAAGTATTCTTATTTTTTTTCTTTATATATCCAACTTTTATCAAATTTGATTTTCTTTTTTCGGACTTCATAAAGCTTTAATGTAGTTTTTGAATATATAAATGTTTATTTACTAAAAATAATTTTATTATGAAGAGGGGTCGGTTAACTTATAAAGTTATAATTAGTCAAACATTGTAAACTACGTAAGAACTTTTAAATGGGACGGAGGGAGTGTAATTTAAGTTAGAAAAGACAAAGAGAAAACTTATAGAACTAGTACAGAAAGTTGAGACAAGTATCACTATGGAACCCTATAGATTTTACATTTTATCTTCAAAATGTGTTATCCATATTGTAAAACATAATGGAGCATGAGTAGGAAATACCTAGTCATAATTCGGGCTGTGTTGGTTTGAAGCATATGTTAACCTAAATTTCGTATAAACATTTATGTTTTTCTCACGTAGCTGATTGCTATTGTAAGAATGTAAGATAGTTTAATTACTTTGCATACTAGCCCAACTCAGATTTCAAGATTTGCCCCTCAATGTAAGTATCACTAAGATTCCTAGGTTTATAGACAAAAGTTCATCTCCGGAATTCCGGACAGGAACTGCCGTCCGGACGGCGGCGTTTGTCCGCCTTCCAGGTGGCATTTTTTGATTAAATTTTTATGGCATGTTCTCCATCAAGTCTAGTTTATCCACAAAAAAATTCAGCCAAAAACTCAATCGGGAAGGTCGTCAAATGATTTTTGCAAGTTAACTGGTCCGGAATATGCATTTGACGACCTTCCCGATTGAGTTTTTGGCTGAAATGTTTTGTGGATAAACTAGACTTGATGGAGAACGTGTCATAAAAATTTCATCGAAAAATTCCACCCGGAAGGTGACCAAACACCGCCGTCCGGACGGCGGTTCTGGTCAGGAATTACCTGACCGGAAGAGTACTCTCCTAGGTTTTTCCAACAAATTTGTATGTATGACACGGACATTGTAATGTCCACATAATTTAAATATTTTTACACATTGATTGTTTGCTGTTGATGAAAGACAGATGTGAAAAGGCTAATAGGAAGAAAATTTGGTGATGAAATAGTACAAAATGACATGAAACACTGGCCATTTAAAGTCGTAGCTGGCCCTGACAGTGGTTGTGGAGAGCATCCTATCATCGCAGTGACATATAAGGGTGAAGAGAAGCAATTTGCAGCTGAGGAGATATCTTCAATGATCCTCCAAAAGATGAAGAGCATTGCAGAGGCTTACCTTGGCAAACAAGTCAAAAAAGCTGTTATTACTGTTCCAGCCTATTTCAATGATGCCCAGCGTCAATCAACAAAAGATGCTGGCGTCATTGCTGGTCTTGAGGTGTTGCGCATAATCAATGAGCCAACTGCTGCTGCAATTGCATATGGTCTTGACAAGAAAGGAAATGGAAGTGGTTTTTCTGATTCAAGGAACATACTGGTTTTTGATCTTGGTGGAGGCACTTTTGATGTCTCTATTGTCACAATGGAGAAGTCTTTGTTTGAAGTCAAAGCAGTTAGTGGGGACACCCACCTTGGTGGAGGGGATTTCAATAATAGAATGGTGAGCAACTTTGTGGCTGAGTTTGAGAGAAAACACAAAAAAGATTTAAGTGGAGATCCTAGGGCTCTTGGGAGGCTGAAAGCAGCATGTGAAAGGGCCAAAAGAGTGCTTTCTTCAGCTACTGAAACTTCTATCAACATTGATTGTCTCTTTGAGGGAATTGACTTCTCTTCAAACATCACCCGTGCACGGTTTGATAAATTGAATCTGGATCTGTTCAAGGCTTGCTTGGAGCCGGTAGAGAAGTGTTTAAAAGATGCTAAAATGGAGAAGACTGACATTCATGATGTTGTTCTGGTTGGTGGGTCTACACGAATCCCAAAGGTTCAGGAGTTATTACAAGACCTCTTTGAGGTAAAGGTTCTTTGCAAAAGCATAAACCCAGATGAAGCTGTTGCATATGGTGCAGCTTTTCAGGCTGCCAAACTGACTGGAGTCTGTATGGGTGTGAATACGGATATTGTGCTTGTAGATGTTACTCCTTTATCTCTTGGTATCAAGGTTTATGGTGGCACAATGTCTGTTGTGATTCCAAGGAATACCACCATCCCTACAAAGATGTCAAGTGCCTACCATAATGCTTTTGACAACCTAACCAGTTGTACATTTATGGTGTATGAAGGAGAGATGCCTGAAGCAGAAGACAACAATTTCCTCGGTGAATTTTCTCTTAGTGATGTTCCTCCAGCGCCCAAAGGTGTTGCTAAGTACGATGTCAATTTCAACATTGACGCCAATGGCATATTGACTGTGTCTGCTGAACTAGTGGGCACTCACAATAGAAACCAAATCACTCTTACCAATCGCAGTCAAAGGTTGTCAAAGGAGGAAATTGACCGGATGGTTAAGGAGGCTGAGGAGTACAAGGCTCAAGATATAAAGCGCAAGAAGGTATCCCTGACTAAAAATGCTCTGGAGAATTACATTCACCATGCCTGGGGAACTTTGAGCTGCTTTAGGAATAAGGTTGGGATGGAGGAGGACATTATGAATCTCAGAAATGCAATAGAGAATGCTGTGCGATGGTTAGACTGGAATTACCAGCTTGATGAAGCTCATAAGTATTTGGAAAAGAAAAAAGAACTGGAGATCATATGCGAGTCTTTTATCATCAAGATGCAGCGTCCGCCAGAAAGTCCCACAATTGTAGAGCCTGAGACCAGAATGATACGGAGACTTTGGAAGTCTCTAACCTTTTGGCATTTCAGTATGCTAATGCTTTAGTACGCTGATGCACTTTTTGAAACTTTGTTTGGTCTGGAATTTCAGTCTCTGATTGCTGTCATATGACACCACACTTTGACTGTTTTTGGTGTGTGAGTACTATATTGGCTGTTGGTCTCTGCTAGTTAGGGAAAACGTTGCCCGTGAGGCTTATGAAAACCTCTTTTGTTCCTTTTTTTTTATTTATTTGATGAAGTGCTTTTGATTCCTATATTTTAAGTCTAGTTATGAATTCTAGTCTGTCTTTCATTTCCATTTTCTGTCAAATGCATGTTATAGATGGACAACTGCTCTACAAGCAAGTCCTCCTTGGTAACGAACTTTATTTTATGTGTAAAAGTTTATGTGAAAATTTTCTTCTACTTGTTTCACCCCGATTTTTTTTCTGGTTTTAATTGCAAAGAACATATAACTAAGCACTTCCCTCATAAAAATGATTGGCTGGTCTTACCGTATGGTTGCATTTTGTCGTTGAATTAAAAAACTTGAAGAAAACTTGTCGCTGAAGATGGAGCTAGTTAACTAATTAGTTCTGAAATAATATACTCCGTAATGTTTATTTGTCCTGAAATGTGAGTCCAGCAAACTTCCATCCAGGTGTTGATGATGAGCATCCCCATAATGTTGTCACTCATCTTTCCCTAAGCCATAGGCAACATTGTTTTTTTTGTTGCTTTCTTTCATTTCTTTCAATATTTTGCGCCAAATTGTTATTATTATTTTACTTACGTGGTACGTAGTATAAATTTGTACTTAAGACATGTTTACTTCTACGGGTTACTAAACGGTGCTTATTAAAACTCGTGTTAATAATTGGTGCATAAAATAAGCAGTGTTGTAAGCTCATGGTTACTTTAAAGGATTTAAAACGCCGTTTAACAATCAAATGTCAAAAATAACCCTATACATATATAAACACACAAACATTTATGAACACAAATATATAATATAATATGTGGGGTCACCTCGTACGCATACCCCTACTCTATCCCCACCCTCGTACCCCCATCCATTACCCCCAATTTGCACACCCTTGACCTCTATCACTTCCCTACCCCTACCCTTACCACGACATTACCCTCTAACCCTACTCCCCTACAACCCTCATACCCCCTAACCCCTACCGCACTCGTAGGCATGAGGTTACGGTCGGGGTGGGGGCAGTGGTATGGGGTAAATGGTAGGGTCGGGGTAGGGTAAGGGGTACAAGGGGGCAGAGTGTGGGGTAAGAGGTATGGGTCAGGGTAGGGTAGGTAGGGGTGGGATCTGGTAAAGGGGTGGGGTCGGGGTAAGGTATGGTCGAGGGTAGGGTAGCATGGGGTCGAGAATAGGGAAGGTGGTAGGGGTAAAAGGGTAGGCTCGGGGTAGGGGGTGGGGTAAGGGTAGGGTTGGGGTAGGGTAAGGGGTGGGGTAAGAGGTTTATGGTCAGGGTAGGATGGGGTAGGATGGGGGCAGGTGTCGGGGTAGGGGGCAGGTGGGGGTCGGAGTAAGGTAGGGTATGTTAGGGGTAGGGGCGGGTTACAGATAGAGAGGTAACAATAGTGTAAGGGCAAGGGATAAGGGTAAGGGCAAATTCGGAAACTGAAAAAAAGATTAAAGTGCCGCTTAATTAATACATGAGTGATGGTATGTAGGGGTGGGATTTTGGAACCGGGAACCGTAGAACCGATTGGAACCGAACCGTTAATAACATCTAGGAACCGAACTGTTAACAATTAATGCATCATTTGTAGGCAGGGGCAGACCGTAGTAGAGACCCAGGGGGGCAGTCGCCCCTCCAACAAATTTTTTTTTAGTGTATATATATATTCCAAAAAATAATTTTCGCCCTCCCAAAAAATAATTTTTTTAAGTTACCGCCCTCCCAAGATAAACTTCCTAGGTCCGCCCCTGTTTGTAGGAACCGAACCGAAGCGGGTTATAACGGTTCGGTTCCCGGTTCCTATAAAAAATATGTGCATGGAACCGTTATTTAAAAAAATAAAAAATAAAATATTAGTAGTAGTAGTAACAATAATAATAATATAATAGCAATAATAACCACCACCACAACAACAATAATAAAACAATATAAGATATTCAACTAACAATTCTAATTTAATCAACGGAAAAGAAGTAATAAATATTGTACATGAGGTTGATATAATACATTAAACTCCTTTCTTCAAATCAAGTTTTGTTCCATCACATAAATTTTATAAATATAAAATAACCCAAATAACTTGTAGTTGATTGCACATATTTTACTTTACTATTTTCATGATATTTCTAATTATTAGATTTATTATGAATCAATAGAATGTAATAATGTTTTTTATATCTATACATGCAAACTCAATGCCTTTTTTTATGTTTTGAAAGACTTGAAGTAGGCGTCTTATTCTTGCTACTATGATGACGAGTAACCTTCATCGCTCTGACACTGCAACGATTTTTAATGTTTCATTTATTACATGAAAATTTAAATCACTTTTGTTCTATTAAGTGTTCAAAGTTCATTAGTTAAGTTTGAGCTTTGATGTTTGAAGTGATTAGAGTTTCAAATAAAATTTTAATACTCGTGTTTTGAATTTTCGACGTGTTTAAAATTATGTGTTAATTCTTAGACGAGAAAAAATTATTATAGGAACCGGTAAAAGGAAGAACCGAACCATTTACTACCGGTTCGGTTCCATAACGGTTCTTGATTTTTATATAGGAACCGAATCAATTTCATTAGTTAAAACTTTTATAACGGGTTCACTCATTTTGAGTGAGAACCGAACCGGTCCCAGCCCTAATGGTATGCTTAGTAAGCGGCACTTTAAGCACATCTTTTGATTAGTAAGCAGCTCGCGTGTTTACTTTAAATGTCTTACTAACCTAATTGTGACTTTAGCAGCGAAGTAAACACCTCTTAATCTAGCATTAAGCAGGGAACTAGTCTAGCATTAAGCGGGGAACTGGTGATCAATGTCGAATGCAACTATGCAAGCTGCAGAAGGAAGCGACAAACATTTTCCCACTTCAAGATATATAAACTAGGGGTGGGCACGAGCCGGGTCGGGGCGGGCAATGCAAAATAAAATGGAACCGCCGGTTCCATTGTACGGGTTGGTCCGGTTCGGGTATTGGAATTTTGAAAATACAAACCGGACCTTACCCGGCCCGTTTGAACGGGTCGGTCCAGTTCGGTTTTTTCGGTTCCTGGATTATTGTTGACAATTAAGATAAAAATACAAGTGAAAGGCAAATCCAAAATTTACCAAATGTGTAAAAACAATAGAATCGAATGGCTAGAGCTGATTTTCAAATATCATATTCACAAGCAAAGTGGCGCTGCATTTTACTACGAGTACATTTTAATAGACCCCTTTGACAATTTACCAAACGAATAACGTTCTAATGCATATGAGATTCAATTTCTAAATGTTGCAGTTTGTATACTTTGTAATGTATAGACTTAGTTTTACTGGGCTCGAGGTAATTTAAAAAGTTTTACTCGGCTCAGGATAATTTTAAAACAAAAGTATAAATTACGGGCCGGGCCGGGTACCCGTTATTTTGAAATTTGAGAACCGGCCCGAACCTATGTCAATAAGTACCCGTCCCGCGCCGCCCCATTTTCTTTTCCTTAAACTAAGAACCGCACATTACCTGCCCTGGCTCGCCATTACCCGGCCCGACCCGCGGTTCTTCTAGAACCGTTTGCCCACCCCTAATATTATAAACGGAGAAGGCGGACTCGGTATAGCAAACCATAGAAGTCACGGAAGTACTGATGGACAAATCACAATGTTAAATTAAAGGGAATTTTACGCAACTAGGCTAAAGATGAAAAGTAATATCACTTTTTTCATTTTTGAAAACTTATTTCAAAAAATAGACTAAGTACACTTTGGTTCTCAAAAGTAGAGTAGTAGACCTTACGTTGAAAAGCCACTTGAATCCATGCTCCTGGAAGCGTGTAGGGAGTTAGCCTTGCTCTATACACTAATACACTATCTTTGTTAAATTTGTACAAACTTTAAGAATTACGAGATTCATTTTTTTAAATAAAAAAAGTCACTAAAATGTAAAAAACGTGAAGACAGTATGAAAACAATAAAAGTATTTAAAAAATAAAATCTTAGAAAATAATAAAACAGTCAAATTAATAATAAAATCAAATAATGCATAGTAAATCAAAGAGGAAAACTTGCAAGTTAAATTTGAAAACGGCATTTAAAATTTTAAGAAAAATCAGGAAAATGTTAAAAAATATATAGAAAATCTGAAAATACAAAACTCAAAACTATAAATAAAAAAACGTTTAAAATAGTTTATAAAGTGGAAAATTGTAGAAAAACAACATGTTTTTTTTGTAATGTTAATTTCTTAGAAGATTTCACATGCCTCAAAGTTTATATAAAAAGTACTTATAAAACAATCAAAATTATAAATAATTGAAATATTTATAAAATTAATGAAAAACGAAAATGAAAATATATAACTTAAAAAATCTGATAAAAGTGAAAAAATAAAATTATACTCTAAAATATCTAGAATCTTAAATATCAATAAAGTATTATAAAAATATTTTTCAAAATATTAAGAATTATGAGAGGTAATTAGAAACTTTTATGAAACATTTATTCTATTAATAAGCCAAATATATAAAAAGTAAAAAAGATTAAATTCAATACATAAAATAATAAAACTTTAATAAGGTTAAAAAATAAAATTAAATTCTCTAAAATAAAATAGAAATAGCAAAAAATGCAGAAAATTTTATTTTCAAGTTTTGTATTTTTTAAATTTATATACAAATGCTAAAATTTAAAGTACTTAATGGAATTTTCATTTTCTATAAAATATATAAAAATATAAAAAATTAAAGTAGTAAAAAATGTGGAGACCTTCTAAAAATACAAAGTATTTTAAAAAAGTTAATATAATTTATATAAAAATATAAAATATCAAAAATATAAAAATTTGAAAGTTTGATAAAAGGAAATAACTAACAGAAAAATATAAATAGATAAAAATATTAGTTAGAAAATTTTCTCAAAATTTCAAAAACATTAAATTAAATAAGCCTAATTAAAAATTAGAAAAATTTAAGAATACTAAACAAAAGGTATAGATAAATTAAAAAATACAAAACTCGAAAATGAAAATGTTAAAGACAAAAATATGTTAAAATTTT